ACCACTCACACTATGTTTATATAATGACAGCTGAGTCTGGGGTAGAGGGATCGTTCAGCTTAGGAGTAGTGTCTCCAACCTTGTTAGCAGCTGAAAAGGAAGAAGCCAAGTCTGTCTTAACCTTATTCTTGAAGAAACAAGGTCTGAGCAAGGCTGTTGCTGCAAGAACCATCAGTAAATCGGACCTTTTTATCGACCATCTTGTCTCAAGGCTCCATTCGGTTCGTAAATCTCGGTATTTAGTAGGTTCGGTTGCGACATTTTACTTTTTTTTGTGATAACTGTTTTGTCGGTGTCTCTTTCTCTTATCATGTTCCCCAGCTTATCAAATGTTAATTGACATTGCAGGAAGAGAGCTCACAACTCTTGAGATTAGGGATGCCCTTATGCCGTACCTTGAAACTCTCCGCGAGGAGTATGGGCATATTCTGGTAGAATCAGTTGAGAACTTTCCTAATGCACCCGTTAAGGAAAAGCCAGCGGTGCAAGTTTCTCCATTGTATCCCACTGTTGACTCCAAGAAGCTAAAAGCCGTGTCTCGAGTGAGTGAGGCGGGGCCTGAGGGAGATCTCCACCCTCAAGTTCTCTACCTTATAGAGCTTGGCATGGATCTCGAGCGGATCAAGTTAATTACACGCAGATTTCCTGCTTTTGCCTACTACAGCTTGGAGGGAAAAATCAAGCCTGTCGTTCAGTTTCTTCTTGATCTTGGGGTACCTAAATCAGATATTCCTGTAATTCTTACTAAAAGGCCTCAACTTTGTGGAATTAGTCTCTCTGGAAACCTAATACCCACTATGATACTCTTAGAAGACTTGGGTGTGGATAAGAAACAGTGGGCAAAAGTTATAAACCGTTGTCCTGCACTTCTCACTTATAGCAGGCAGAAGCTTAAGTCAACTGTAGATTTCATCTATGAGATGGGCCTCTCAGCCGAGAGCATAGGTAAGATCTTAACACGGTGCCCAAACATTATAGGTTACAGCATCAAAGACAAGCTACGACCGACAGCTGAGTATTTCCAATCATTAGGAGTTGACATTGCTGTTCTTCTCCAGCAATGTCCACAGAGTCTTAGTCTTAGTATTGAGGCCAATCTTAAGCCTGTGACAGAATTTTTCATCGAGAGGGGATTTAGGATGGAGGAAATCGGGATCATGATTTCTTGATACGGAGTTCTGTATACTCTCAGCTTGAAAGAGAACTTGATACCCAAATGGGAGTTCTTTTTAACCATGGACTATGACAAGTCAGAGCTAGTGAAGTTTCCTCAGTATTTCGGTTACAGTTTAGAAGAGAGAATCAAACCTCGGTATGCACGTCTAAAGGAGTGTGGACTGACAGTCTTGCCGAACAAGGTTTTATCGCTATCAAAGGTTTTATCGCCATCAAGCCGCGACTTTGATAAAACCCTGAATAAGAAAATGAAGAAAATGCTTTTAGAAGAGGGTTCAACTGATAGTAATGGCAAGGGATGGTTCTCAAACCTGATATTGAGCCATACAACATCTAAGCAGAGAATTTATGGAAAATGGTTGTGGTTGCAGTGATGGGCATGTCATTTTTTATGCTCAACTTTAACCAGTAGAAGAAATATACTTCTGCAGAATGTTGTATGCTGGAGGAATGACAATTTATCGATCGTTGCCTGCCCAGCCCTTTTTCAGCTACTCATTTCTCTTGTATCTTATATTTTTACTGAAACTTTTCCATGTTTAGGGTGACAAGTTGTGGGATACAAATATGTTGGCTAGTCCATCGACATGGTGATTTTAGCTGTTTTCTAATGTCTATATGGCTTTTTCACATGAAGATGGAGATTCGCCTTGCAGCTTCCTTGACTTCACTAGAAGATGGAGATTCACCGTGCAAGTGCAATGACCCTCTCCGTGTACATGGAGTTAGTTTGCAGGAGTTGATCAAATTCTTACCTTATTGTTATATTTTGAGCTTTCCACATGCATTAGAATTCTTTTTCATGAATGATGGTTGTATAAAATGACTGAAGAAATACTTACAGCTTTCCATGTAACATTTGGTGATTTAGCTGTTGAGAAATGCTAGATGTAGAAAAATTTACAAAAAGTCTTTGTACAAAGTAATATGGTAACCTCTATTTTAAAAACCGGACTGGACTGGCTAGACTAGGACCCAGCAGTTTCTCCGGTCGGTTCAGGTTTGAGGGGGTTTTTTGTAATATTTTAAAATTATAAGGGTTACTTGTAATTTTTAGGGGTGTTTTGGAGATATATCAAAAGTTTAGGGATTAATTGGTTAGTTTTTTAAGGCATTTTTGAAATAAATACAAATTTTAGGGGCTACTAAACTTTTTTAGGGGAATTTTTGTAATATATTAAAATTTGAGATATTAATAGTAATTTTTTAAAAATAAAATTATAGTTAACATCATCTATCCAGCCAATCCAGTCGGTTGTGTCGGTTGACTCGTGACCCGAATAACAAAATGGATTGTCCTGTGATCCGGGTTTTAAAACAACAGTGGCAACTGCCACACCTGTTTCGCTTTGTCTTTAGTTTTATTAATCCTTTCAAGTATTTGATCATGATGTACACAAAAAGTACTAGTTTTATTAATGCTTTCAAGTATTTGATCATGTACACAAAGCATTAAAGCTATGAGCTTGTGAAGTTAATTCTTTTTCTATATTTACTTTCAAAATGTTCACAAAACCGATTAAATAACCAACCAGATCATATTCATAAATTCACAGAACAGCAAGGCATTTACAATGGTCATTTTCCATTATTAAACATGAGAACATTGATTTTGTGGATGCCAATATCAGAGATGGGTTCAATTGGCTGCTCATCTCCCTCCACTAAAGAAACAGGATTTGAAGGTTCTCTGCTGAATTCATCTGTAGATTAATAGAGCATAAGATTACATAAAATGTACTTTTGCCGTCATGAACGATGGCTAAAATAGTTTGAAACAATGTTTATATCCATCTTCAGGACTTTGAAATCTGTACAAGCAAGTAGATGTAGTGATAAAATAAATTGCTACTTGCTAGAGATGCGGGGTCAGAGGTCACAACTTACCAAACATTGTATTTAAGGAAGTTGATGGAGTCGACATGAAATTGATGCCGATGTAAAAAGATAATGCTAATACTATAGTCACCATAGTGTAGGCTGGCACTGCCAACGCCCAATACCTAAAAAACAAAATCACCGATATAGTCAATATTACCATATCAATAACACTTCAAGTTAAGTCAATGAAGATGTCACACAAGAAGATAATGAGTTACTTCCACAAGTTTCGGTTCATGCATTGGACAGGTTTAAAGGTTTATTCATTTGGGACTTTGCAAATTTAATCTATGTCAAGATTTGATTCAATATTCCAGTGACTTGCTAGGGTAGTAAAGTCCCAAATTGCAAGTAACTCATTAAAATCCCAATTGCAAGTAACCAGCGTTGAGGAACATATGTCCATACCAAGAAAAGAACTGTTTACAAAGAATGATCAAAGTGTGTCAGAAATGTAAGGAGATCCAAATAAAACCTCATAAGAATTTCTTCATAAAACCTCATCAGAAATAACTAGTAAAGGATCTTCTTCACATTTCAATATATCATAAGCAGTCAAATTCAGATCTTTTCAAGAGTTTTACTGTTCTTGATTTCCTTAACATGTTTTCATGCAGCACAGTCTAACATAACTAAAGATTCATAAGTAAACACAACAATCAATAGAAAGAAACTACAAACACCTGCAGTGACCGACTGTGGTAATGGATCCACAAAGCCATAAACTTCAGAAGTCTAGGACCAAACCCGAATAAGCCTTGTCATCATGAGCCAAAAATGACACGGTTGCTCTACTCTCTTGAAAAACTTAATATTCTCTTGACTTTAACCGAATGTCGATCCTCCATCACCTTCCTCTTAAAACTTCAACTTCTATCCTGGAACCAAAAACAGATCTTATAAAATTGATAACAATCTAATCCTCAGAAAAATAAAATAAAAACTTATTATAAAGAATACCAGAGAAAATGTGTAAAACTGTTCACTATTTGCCTTTTCAAGTGTAATATAAATTCATTTTTTTTTTCTTAATTCAGTAGAGATGATTTTACATTTTACGAGATAAAAAACCGAAAATTCAAGACAAAAGCATAACAAACGCAGCCTAATTATCCAAAATTTTAGAAGAATCTCTTGCATTGATTATACTAGTACAAATCACTAATCTTTAGCTAATAATTAAGTGCTGAATACAACATTTAAGCTCTAATATTATTTTTATTATAATTTTCAATTACAATTGAATTTCAGAAATGCTCTGAAGTCTAAAATCTCATGCATGGAAATAGCAAAAGAACATAGCAAACCAAATTAATTAACACCAAATCTCAAACAACAATTAAAACAAAATTAAACCAAACAAAACAAATGTGATAATTCCACACAGGGCCTCTTGTTTGATACTTTACATAAAGTTACCTGAAGTTAGCTATAAATAGATAAAATTGTTAATGCAGATACAGAAAAAACAATGAAGACCCACAAGAGAGACCGCAATGGAGGATCAAACAAATATGCTTAGATAAAAATGGGTTTATTCATCAGAAACAATGGCATGATGAAAAAAATAACAAATTAACGAACAAGATTTAAAGAACAGGAAAGGCTTTACCGTTACGCTGCGTTTTTAATGAGAACGAATTGAGGGTCTATTAAAGAGGAAGCGCAGAGATTTTGTCGGGCCCGAGATTCAAAATTCCGGTAATCAATATAATGCGATAAGTGTTGATCGAAAATGGGAAAATTTAGGGCAAACTTTTTGGGTACGAAATTGTCTTTGGGCAAACTTCGGGTGGAATGGAAAGATGTCGTTCGGCCATCTAAATAAATCTTAAAAGGAGGTCACAGATAGATTTAGATGTTTCATCGATAGTCATGTAAAATCCAAAATCATCCCAAAATAAAATAAATACAATAGTCCTCCAGACTTCGACAACCCTAGAAATAAAATATAATGTTAACACCAAACATTTAATCCTCACCAAGTAAGAGAAACTGGAAAGAGTGAAGTGAAGGGCTTCGCAGCTGAAGATTAGACTCCATATTGCTCAATGCTGGTAAGATCTGCATTCTTTATTTTCATTTTCAATTTTATTATTTTTTTAAATTAAAATATAAATATATATGCAAATTGACTTGAATTTGAGTTGAGCTAAATATTTTCAGTTCCTCTCGTTAACTTTATTCGCTACTGCTATCTTGTATCTGGGCTTGTTTTTTTCTGTAAATTTCATGGACATTCTTTTGATCAAAATGAGTTCTTTATGTTTTTCCTCTTGAATGTTAACTGGGAAGGAAATTTATATTGGTTCGTGTTTTTTCAAAAGTTTATTTCTGACTTATGTAAAGATTGACTGTTTAATGGGTTTGAACAGTGATACTACTATTTAGCAATGTGAGAATTGATAATGGTAGCGTTTATGAGCAATGCATGATGTTACTGAAATGAAATTTGTGTAAAATTTTTGTTCTTGTACAAATTTGATGATTTTGCACATTCTAAAGTCGATTAATTCAGTTACAGCGTGATGATTTGTGTCGCTGGTGAATCTATTCTTGTTGATAGATATGTTTGAGTGGTGGGAATATTGGTTGATGTTATTAAATATGGTTGATTATTTCCCCAGTTTCTATGAAATAAGGATGCTCATTGAATGAATCTTAATTTATACAACCCAGATATTCAATAATATTTGTACGTTCTGTTTTCAATGAAACAGAGTAACTGGACTCTCATTGAGGAGTCAATATTTTGTATTTGTACACTGGTCTTGTATTGATAAAAGTTTCTGTTTACCTTCTGAAGATGGAAATGAAAGCCCTTTGTGCAAGCCGCTTGTCTGATTTTTCATCTCTCTTTAGAGGAACTCTTTGCATCACGGGGTAGAGTTTTTTTTCCTTTAATTTCGTTCTTTCTGTCTTCAGTTTGAAAATTATTGTTACAAAAAGCAGAAATCTTTGTTCCTGTTGTTCTTTGTTTATATGTTTTTGGGGTGAATGATAACGTGGGTGCTACTATGTTAAATTATATTCCAACTCAGTTGCATTTATTTATCGAGAAAAGAAAGGGAAAGGACCATACATCTAGGATGGTAAGCTAATAACACAAAGAACTCTTAACTCTTGCTTAAGTTATTTGGTCAAGAAGGAAATTGCTTATTCTGTGCTATTATATGGTGAATCACCTTTTTTCTTAATACCGATATTTCTTCTGTTTTTTTTTTTTCTTAGCTGAGCATTGACGTCCTTATACTTCTGTAGGACTCACTTTCTTTTCCTGAGAAACTCTCTTTTGCCAAGCAAAGCTTGGTAAGCATGCGTTCTTCTAGTACTATACATTCATATAGAAGCTAACTATCATATTTACATGTTCTTGTGACCCTTTTTAGTATTAACACCATTTTGTGATATAAAACAACTTTTTCTTCTGGAAATGGATCGTTCAACTCATAGTAGTGCCTCCAACCCTGTTAGCAGCTGAAAAAGAAGAAGCCAAATCTGTGTTATCCTTGTTCTTGAGAAACAAGGTCTGAGCAAGGTAGTTGCTGCAAAAACCTCACTAAATCAGATCTTCTCATCGACACCTTGTCTCAAGGCTTCATTCTGTTCATAAGTCTCGGTATCTTGTAGGTTCGATTGCATATATGTACTGGTTATTTTTGGCTATGTTTTCTAAGTGTTTTGTTTCAAATCTTATTTTTCCCACTAATCAAAATTTGCTTGCCATACAGGAAGAGAGCTCACAACTCTTGAGATCAGGGACACTCTTATTCCTTATATTGATCTCTTCTTGTAGAGCATGGAAACATGTCGCAAATTTAGTGGAGAACTTTCCAATCACCTGTCAAGACAGCCGCTGCGTCAGTCTCAACACCTTCCACCCCTCACCTGAGAAGCCAAAAGGGGCTTTAATGCCCGTAAGAAAAGGCAGCTGGTCAGTTTCTCAATCCTTTTCTGCTCCCCTTGACTCCAAGAACCAAGTGTTCTCTAATGGACCTAGTGAAAAAAGCCAGCCACATCAGTTTCTCAATCTGGTTCTGCTCTTGACTCTAAGAAGCCAAACGCTGTCTCTCAATGTTGAGGTTGGCACGTTGGGATTTAGCCCTCAATTCCTCTACCTCTTAGAGCTTGGCATGGATTTTGAACAGATCAAGGTAATTACACCATATCCGATTTTGCTACTGCAGCTTGGAGGGAAATCAACCCACTATGGTTTCTTCTTGATCTTGGGGTACCTAAATCAGACATTCCAAAAAATTCTTTCCAAGGCCTAATTTATGCAGCTTAGTTATCTGAAATAATACCCATGATGTTCTTGGAAGATATGGGTGTGACAAGGACCATGGGCGAAAGTTATATACCGCTTCCCGGACTCCTCACTATAGCAGCAGAAGTTCAGGCAATCGTGATTTCCTCACGAGTTGGGCCTATCATCTGAGAGTATAGGTAAAATCTTAACTCGATGGCCAATATCGTTAGTTGCGCGTGGAGGAGAATCTACGACCAACAGTTAGTACTTTCGTTCATTAGGGGTTGACATCTCCATTCTTCTTAAAAAATCACCAGGGACTCTTGGTCATAGTATTGAAGGCAATCTGAAGCCTGTGACCGATTCTTCTTGGCAAAGGGGTATAGCGTGGAAGAATTCGGATCATATTTTGAGATATGCGCCTCTAATACTTTTGCTTGACAGAGAACTTGTACCAAAATGGGAGTTCTTTTTGACCATGGGATATGAAAAATCTGAGCTGGTTAGTTCCCTACATATTTTGGTTACAGTTTGGAGCAGAGAATAAGGCCAAGATATGTGCTTGTAAAGGAGTCAGGAGTAATGCCGTGTCCAAATGCTATGTTGTATCAGCTGTGATTTTGAGAAAGTTTTGAAGATGAAAATCTGAAAATGGTACCACCACGACTCCTCGGCATGAGAAAAACTCACATAAGACAGCTCACCATATCCTCTCTTAACTCGACGGTCTACCACATCACCAAACTGACATTGAGAAACTATCAATTTAGATATTTGATGCGAACTTTCTAGTGGTACAATTGTTAATGGAATTTATCTAATGCCAAAAAGTCTTAGATTGTATAAAATTGTAAGGGTTTGCGAAAGAACCCTTGATCCCTTTTTTCTTTGAAATGAAGGGTTTTATACCTAAGCAAAATGGTATATTTTGTCATTACTTTCTATATATATTTGAAAAACCCTATTTCGCATTCCAAATGTAAGAGGGCTTTCGAGATAAAATCATACTTAGATAGGAATTGGAATGATTTAATACTTAATTTTTATTTAGAAAAAAAAAAATTATATTGGAGGACTTATACTGTTATACATATTGTTTATTGTTTAGTATAAGTATGTAAAGCAATTTTCCTTCTTCTCTACAGAATGGAAAGGGTATTTTACCAAAAAAATACAGAATAATCGCATTTTATTAAAAAAAAAAAAATCCTCATTTCATTTTTTTTTTTTTTTGTAAATCTAATCAACGCAACACATTTTGATGAATATATTTCTAAAAACAAATTGATTTCATCGTGATAGATATAATCGATGACATATATATAAATACTCCACTTACCCCCTTGTGTTAAAAAGTATATTTGGTCCATCATCCATTAAAATTGGGGTAGATGCTTCATTTTTTGTTATTATTATGTCATATCATTTACCAAATCACCAAATTGTTTATATTCATCCCCACACAAGATTACAAAAGACGAGAAATTTGAAAAACTTTTAAAACTTGTAATATTATTGGTTTTTTTTTAAACAAATATTATAACATATCTGTGTCCTACACGAATAACTAGATTGAACAATTAAATGATTAATTATATAATCTGGCAATCAGTTTCTTTTGTCCATTCTTATCTTTTCTGTGACAAGCATTTTGAATATATAATTAGATACCGACATTTTCCCACCCAAGGTTCGATGAAACGTACTTTTTCACCCATCAAGTTTAAAATGACACTTTTTCACTTTCGTTAGGTTTTGATAATATTTTTCGTTAATATTTGATTAAAAAGATAAATATACTCTTAAATATTTTATTTCTTAATTATTTTATTATAAATTAAATTATAATTTAAAGTCTTATTCGTTATTTATTAATTTAAGTATAAAGATACATTTTTTTCTTTGTTTATTTAATTAATTAGAAATATTGATTTTTATGTTAATTAGTAAAAATGAAAACATTAAAATATAGTGATGAGATATTATGACATTATAAATAATATTAAGATTATTTAACTTTAAACAATTTTATACTATTATCCTAACTTTTTGGTGGTTAACTATTTTTTCTTTTTTGAATTTTTAATATTTGACTTTTTGGCTAATTAAAAATAATAAAAAAATTTATAAAGTAAATATTTAAGGTATTTTTTATATTTTCAGTAAAATATTAACAGAAACATAACAAACTTAACGAATGGTGGAAAAGTGTCATTTTGAAAGTTTGATAGGTGGGAAGTTTTGTTTCGTCAAAGCTTGGGTGGGAACATGTCGTTCTCCCTATAATTAATGATCTCAAAGCACAATCCCATTTTGCCTGCGTGGGTCATACGTGTACCTAAAAATTCAAAGTCTATCGTCTCGTGGACCGTGTTATGTTAAAGCTTTCAAAAATTCGTGCCATATCTTTTGTCGATCTGCCAAATCTGAAAGCCCACGTCACTACTCGTTGTATAACGTGTCATTCATGGGCCTAGCACACGGGCCGGCTTGCATGCTTTAGGGGCCCCTACAATTTTTTATATTTAATATTCATAAATTAAATAACTTTGATTTAATTAATAATTATTATAAAAATATTTTTATGTATATTTAATGACATTTTGTATTTGTATTAATTAAAAAAATATAATCACTATAAAATATAATAAATATGAGACATGAAATTTTAATTGAATTTCAACATTTTTTATTACTTATAAGTTATAATTATAAATTACAATATAAACTTAAAAATTAGGATTAAAATTAATATTAAGGGGCGTTTGGTTGAGGTTATATAAGATTACTGAGGTTATGTCATTTTTATACTTGATTATCACATTTGGTTTTTAAGTAATATAAAATTCTGGTAATTTTCTAATACCAATAGAAGTTATTATTAATAATATGGAGGTAATCTGTAACCTCTATTTTCTTAGATATTGTATGATTATCAAGGTAACCTTATTTTATTACAGTTCTATCATTTATTAATAAAATTTTAAACAATAATACTCTTATTTTAAAATTATTTACATGAATTTGGCTTTTACTATTTCATCTCAATTATTAATTCTTTGGACAAAATTACCCTTGAATTCAAAACAAATTGCAACCTATCATAACCACCACTCCCACCCACCAGCCGCCAACCAAACCACCATCGGCCGCCATCGAAAGTCATCGAAAGAAGCTGGAAATCACCGTGAGTAGCCCACCGTCATTGAGAGGCTCAGATATGGTTGTTTTTCGGTGGCCATTTCCGACCAGATCCATGACCTTTATTGACTAATCTATTCTAGCCGGAATAGATTGGTCGTTACGACTAGATCATATTCATTAATAGCCATATCTCATTTAGATATGGTCATCAAAGGCCATCGATCTGGCCGAAAAAGGCTAGATCCATCGATATGAGCGGAAATGGCCAGAATAGATATGGCCTTTCTGGCAAAATCTACTATGATATGTTTTTTGGCCAGAAACGGCCATATTGGACCTCCCAATGTCTCTCGGCTACTCACGTGACTCCATGTGACTTTCGATACGGACGTGTTGGCAGCAGTGGCTTAGGGTGGTGGGGGTGATTTTTTATAAATTAAAGTTTATATAAGCAGGTTGTTTTAGCTAAATTTGAATGTTGGGGTTCAAA